ATGATATATAATTATTAGATGAGTCAAACCATTTTGATAATTATCAGAGTATAAAACTTTTACATTTGACGTATATAGGAGAAAAAAAAAAGGAAAAAACGCAATTTTAGAGGTTAGTTTTCGTAATTGCCCGATATCTCGCTTAATATGAGTCATAGAGTTCGAGTAATGTTCGACAACATTTCTCAACACTTTAAATTACACAACCTTGCTGTAAAAACCATTCAGCTAGGATGCTCCGTTCAGATTCGAGCGCCACCTATGTGGCGTAAAAATGAACTAATATGAAACTTTCAAAAGATGGCGCTTTTAGTATTGAGCAACTTTGTAGAACATTGTATCGCTGTAGAAAGCAAACCAATGGCGCTAGAGGTTTTGGCCACACGAATGGCTTCGCTGCCCCACTGTGCGCCGGTAGCATTGGTGCTCAGCACGGAAAACAAAAAAAAAAATCCGGCCTGATTTTAAAATAGGTACTAAAAATGAGTTTTCCATATGTTTGGGAAGGTTCCGGATACAACTAACAGTGACATAGAAAAAAAGCAAAACAATGGAGACAGTGAGTACTAGACTTTTTTTTTAAATACCTGAGGAATTCCGTCAGATCGAGGACCTTTTGAAGTGTCTTGATTCTTTAATGCCTGCAAAATATCCTGCAATCGAAGTTTGACGCCAATTTTTCTTATAAATAAATAAATAAATAAATTAAATTCTGCATAAAATGCAAAATAATAGCGGTCGCGATCTTCTTCGGTAAATGTCGTATGGATTTCTTTAAAAAAAAACTTGCAAAATGATTACAATTTTTTTCTGAGCTATCTCCGACACGTTCGTCAAGATTCATTATTGATGGAAATTGTCAGATTTTAATTTGGTTTTTACGTAATTGAAGAAGTTCTTTGGACAGGACTTTATTTCAAGTTCAGTTTTTGATTTAAATTCTTCAAATGCATTACTGATGGCTTAATCCAGTTGATCGCATATGTTCAAATAGATAGCAAAATTTTCACTATTATTGTGTTTTTCGTAATGTTTATGGGCTTTCTGTTTTCGATTTTTTAAGTTTTTATATGTCTGTTATACCAGACTGGATTTTTTGTGCTTCTGTAGCGTCTTTTTTTTTACAAAGGTATTTCTTCCGAAATTATTCCTGATAAAATTTGGTAGAAGATGTCTATAGAAGTTTTGACATTTCCTTCATTCTATAGAATTATTTGCCAATTGAGGCTGTGCAATTTTTGTTTGATTTTTTTGTAGTCTGGTAATTTGTATTCAAAAACTTCCTCGTATTCCCAGTCGTCAATTACTCAAGTACTAATTGATCTTAAAAAATGGATCCTCATAGTGAAAAAAAGCCAAATTTATGACAAGGAGTGCTCGAAGGATTGACGAAGTAGGATGAAAAATTCAAGCAATACTTACCTACGATTTCTGCAAATAACATATATATCACAGACAAACATACGTAACACTTCATTGTGTATCTGCGTTCACGCATTTAACGGTTGATTTGAATATTATCAGTTCCGCGAACTACTTGCCGCAGCGCTGGCATCGGATCACTTTGACGTTTCTATACATTCTATAGAACTTTTATGCAATATTGTTTGCGAGTTAGCGAGCAATCTTGTTTTCCGCGAGAAGCCAGAGAGATGTCGTTACTGAGGTCCTATGTATTGAGATATTATGTTTTCAAGAAAAACTTGTTCAAACTAAACTTAGTGTTCTAGATGCGCTTCCACAGTTATTAATTGAGCGCTTCCGATGCCTGTACCATTTTTGTATTAGTATTATTGTGTGGCAAGTACAATCATACTCTATGCCCAGGGAAGTCGAGAAATTTTCCAACCCGAAAAATGCCTAGACCGGACCGGGAATCGAGCCCAGCCACCTCCAGCATGGTCTTGCTTTGTAGCTGCACCTTTACCGACTGAGTTAAGGGAGGCCCCATATTTATTATTACCAAACTTTTAATTGTGGGATGAATACAGTGTACTACTACAGTATTAACTGTCATTATACCAAACCTGAAAAATGCATGTCGATACTGTGACACAGCACGAGTTTTCTGTTGCATGAATCCGAGAATCGAACTCACATTAGTTAAATTAACCCTTTATTAACCGGGTTATTAAAAAAAATCCAAAATGCTGCTAACAGAGAGCCTTGATTGATTTTTTAAACTTTAATGTTAGATTTTGTTAAAGTTTCAAAACAATTTTCCTAAAAAAATTGGACACCCTGTGACTGGATCTAATCCGGTAGTTTTCTGGGTCAGGAGGGAAAAAAATCATGTTACCTTCCTATTATCACTGGTTTACCACCTGGCAACATAAAGATTTAATATACAAAAACTTGTGCGCCCAATTAATTATAATCAGCAATGATGCTTTGAGGCATATCTGACCAGAAAGACCACCGGAGGAAAATAAAAGGTTCTGTTGAAAAAGTGGTCATTTCCGGAATTTATGGACTCTTTGATGATCCTTTTCAAAGCACAGGATTATGCCTTTCTTGTTCAAAATATGCCCGAACAGATTCAAAGTATCTGTGTGGAATCCACGCTGTCGATCATACACGACGAATTGCCATGTATATCAGATGTCCTAAGTTCTCCAAATTATCCTGGAGTTCAGATGATGCGTTCTGGTAGATCAACCAATACTAGGACAATTTATGCAGTATCTAATCTGTTTGCAGTATCAAAGTGTCTATGTGCATCATGCACGACCTACTGCAATGTATTCCAGATGTTCTAGGTTCTCCAAACCGTCCCAAACCATTCAGATTATGTATTCTACTATATCAAACGAAACTGGGACAATGTTTGTAGATCTAGTTGAACAAATCATCTGAACTCCAGACCAATTTAGAGAACAAAGAGCATCTGATATACATGGGAATAGGTCATGCATGATCCACATGGGCTTCGCGAATCTGTTTGGGCATATTTTGATACTATAGGCATTGTCTCAGTCTTGGTTGACTCAGTAGAACACATCAACTGAATTCCAGGACGATTTGGAGGACCTAAAACATCTGTTATAGTTGTAAATTCTGGAAATGACTACTTTTTCAACGACATTAAATGTTCTTCCGGTGGCCTATCTGATGAGAAATGCCTCAGAGCATCATTGCTGATTATGGTTTAATGGTTTAAGGGGGTAGTACACTTTAAACGTCCTTAAAGTAAAGCATTTTCGTTAATTTTTTTAAGCAATAAAACACTCAGGGAGGGCAAATATGTTATAACCCATTTATAAGTCATCCTTCGAACTACAATTTGTATTTTTTTTAACTCGATTGGCGTCTCCCCGTGGCCGGTGCACCAGGTCGCGCGGGCGTCCTCGCGCGAAAGTCGGAAAACGGCGTGGGAAAATACTCCTTTCCATGTGATCCTGGAACATAAATCGAACAAAAATCCTGATTAATAATGAAATTTGGGTTAGAAATACGTATTCCGTTTTTTTTTTAAATTAATTTTTTCAAAAGTTGTGGCCTTAGGAAAAAAAGTCCATTTTTTCACCCTAAAAATGCTTACAAAATCGTGGATTAAAAATTCTATATGCTTACAAAATCGTGGATTAAAAAACCATTTTTGACAAAATCGAAAATGTGGGCACGTATTTCTAAGCAGAATTTAATTCTGAACAAGAAAACTTAGGCGATATCCAAATTTGATGATAACTAATTAGAGTTATTTCCCACGCCAGTTTGAAAAACCCCGTTTCGAGATAAACGCGTTTAATGATAAAATTGCTCTCTCAGCGCGCCGGTACATGTTTTAGGAAATCGCTTCGTAAAGCGATAAGGAATATTCTGGTGGACTTGGAGTCTTTTCTAAATTAAAGTATACATCCCAAGGAACATTTTAAGCCAAAAATATGCATTTTTTTTTGAAAAATTAAAGTGTACTCTCCCCTTAATGGATTTAATGATTATGATTTAATACGCATACTAATTTCTGTTTGGAATCTTTATGTTACCAGCTGGTAAAACAGCGATAATAGGAAGGTAGCATGAATTTTATCCCTCCTAACCCTGAAACCTACCGGAAAGAATCTGACAACAGGGACCGAAATATTTTATTTGTAACCATGTATTGTAACCGGTTTTCAACGGGTTAAACAGTTACTGGTGTTATTTTTAAAATGCAGATGCACTGGAATATGATTGAATCGTTTATTTAGCATGAGAAAACTTACCTACGATGAATTAACAGACAGTTGAATAGGCATCGTCGCACGTGGCTGGGGTTTGTTCTTGAATCCGTATTCTCAGATGATGTCACTGGGGTTTAATTCTATCACCGATTCTAAATTAAATTTGCTATATGCGATGCTGATGATAAAACTAATTCTTTTTTATGCATGTTTGATACATCTATCGTTATTCATTGCGAAATATTCCGGAAACAGTGTAACTTTGCAAAAGAAAATAGCATGATACCAAATCAGGTTATCGTCATAAACAACATTTCATTATTATCTTCAAATACGTCATTCGCTTAAATCCGGTATCTCCTTTCCATCCATAAATCGTAACTCGACGGAAACTTTAAACTTTTACTGCTTGTATTTACAACGACCAATTGAAGCATTTTGGCGTCAATAGGGTAACTGTTTCTATTTTCGTTTAGCAATGTTTTCTCCTGTGAAAAATGTGCATAATGTCAAATTTTAGAGATCATTGAAATGCTTTTTTTCTATTTTTCGTATTCAAATATTTGTTGAATAAATCCATAACCAAAACCAGGAATGGTCACTAAATTAAACGATACCTTATAAAGGTTGCCGCCCGCCAAGTTGATAAGTTGAGCGGAAATGTTTTACTCCCTATCTAAGCACTTTACCGCCGACGATGCGACGATAAGGTTGATTTACTCATAAATACCGAATACCATGAATTGTTTATTTACATCCTCATCGATATCACGTATGTTATCGATCGCGTGGCACTTGAAGTATGTTTATTTTCCCTAAATCTCTGTACACTTTCAGATTTTCAATTGCTTATCCGTGCTTCTGAGCTCACTAGCAGCACGTTGATAAGATGAGGAGAGAACAGTTGCAAGCCTTCGTCAAGGAGAATCTTTTAACTTTCCTTACGATCGGTGGCGTCATCATAGGAATTGGGCTCGGAATTGGTTTACGGGAAGTGCCAGCCGAGGGCGAAAAATGGTCTCCGCGGGATGTGGCATATATCAACTTCATTGGAGATATCTTCCTCCGAATGCTCAAGGCGCTGATCTTGCCTTTGATAGTGACATCTCTCATAGCTGCGGTCGGTTCACTAGATTTGTCCTTATCCGGGAAAATCGGAGGCCGTGCAGTGCTCTACTACGTAGTGACAACAATAATAGCGGTTATCTTGGGAATTGTGCTAGTTGTCACTATCCAGCCTGGTAAAGGTGCCGAGGAAACCAGTGGATCTGTGAAAGGTGAAGTACGAAACGTTACAACGGCTGATACCCTACTGGATTTGGTTCGAAATATGTTTCCACCGAATCTGGTACAGGCCTGTTTGCAGCAATACCAGACCGTGCTGACACCACCTAAGACAAACCCAAATGAATCTGATCTGGATCTCTGGTCCGTTGGGGGGAAGTTTGTCGATGGAATGAATATCATCGGTTTGGTGGTAGCTTCTATCGTCTTTGGTATTGCGCTCGGAGCATTGAAAGAAGACGTCCATTTGGTGTTGAAATTCTTCCAGCAATTGTCGCATACAATAATGAAGATCACTGGATGGGTAATATGGTAAGTGCTATTGTAATTGCTCCAAATATAATAATTTAATGATGTTTCTATTTTAAGGCTTTCTCCTATTGGAGTACTGTTCCTAATTACGGCCAAGCTGTTGGAAATGGATGATCTTGGTGAAATATTTGGCAAGTTGGGCCTGTACTTTGCCGTTGTTGCTGGAGGAATCGTTTTCCACGGATTTGTGATACTGCCTTCATTGTTTTTCCTGTTTACTCGTAAGAACCCGGTTCGGTTTGTTGCCAACATGGGACAGGCGATTGCTACCGCGTTCGGAACATCCTCCAGTTCGGCTACTCTACCCGTGACGATGCAATGTCTTGAGGAAAAGAATCACGTCGATCCACGTGTAGCGCGGTTCGTGCTGCCGATCGGAGCTACTATCAATATGGATGGTACTGCTTTGTATGAAGCTGTGGCAGCCATTTTCATTGCGCAGTTAAGAGGTAAAAAATGTCGTCAATTTTACTAAGCTACTTTGATGAACATATTTTATATAGGCTTTCCATAAACCATGAAGGTAGTTTTCGAGAGATTTTACTTCCCCTTCCTCTCCTTTACTTGCCCAAGTGCAATGACAACGGAAGCGGAATGGCAGCGGCAGCGGAAAAGCCCGATCTGAGTAAAGGCCCAAACGCATTGTGAACGGAAGCGGAACGGAAACGGAAAGTTTGACAATTGTCACAAATGACATCAAGATGCCCAACCGAAGTCGATTTGATTCTAACTAGTTTTCAATCCGACAAGTAGGCTTACTCAGATCGGGCTTTTCCGCTGCCGCTGCCGTTCCGCTTCCGCTGGCATTGGTAGGAAATTTGTGTTAGAAGGATAATTAAAAATATCATGTAAAATAAGTGGGCATGACACCTTTGCTGAATATATCAAAATATGTTTTAAAATTTAATTTTCTTGACTTAGACTTAAAAACAAAAGTATCCGTAGAACAAATTTTGTTCAGCACAAAAAGCTAAAATATAGAGTTGTATTATGTATTAGTTTTTGAAAATATTAAAAAACAATCGATGATATTAAAAATATTTGATGATATTTTCAAATAGATCTAAGTTGTCTTGGCCCTTGTTTAAAACCTTACTAGAATAGTTGCGAACAGACGGTAACGTTAACTGTTCAATTGGTTTTGTCGGAATCACTCATATGTGTACAACATGTCTAAAGAATTCTAATTATTTTATTCATTAAAATAATTCAATTATTTTTATAGAAACATCATGAAAAACACCACAATATTTATGAACCTTGCACATATAATGCATCTACCTTATATATATATTTTGTATTTGTTTACCCAATAAAAGGTATTAGTCAATCCAAAGTGAAATTACGTTTAAAATATTTTTTTCTGCGTGTACACTTCATATTATTACTTTTAAGCTTTATGGGAATATAGCCATTGCAAAAATCTACACGCAGAGAAAAATATTTTAAATACAATAATATTGGACATAAAAACAATAAGAATTTCATTTTGTTTTGCCTGCAAAAAGAAACCATTATTGTTTCAACAATCCATATATTGTTTCTCAAAACCCATGAATTATTAAATCAAAAAGAAAATCTTTTCGAATTTAAATGAGCTTTCATGGTTTTGATGTAAGCTGTCAAATTTGGCAGCTGGGTCAACGACAAAAATATGTTTGTTTATAAAAGAGAATTCTTGTTGATCGAATCATATTTATTTTATAGCCTGACAATTCAAGCAATAGAAATAAAAATATTTTCATTGATTCAATAATAATTTGGCGTTTATTGTAACAAACATAATTGCTACCGAAATTAGAAAACCTTTCTTTCAAATCCGTTTTTTAGACACAGTGACTGAGTAAAACTATATTGCTATATTTTTTTCTTCTAAAACAAATTTCTTTAATTTATCATGAGTTTTGGTAACAGAAGTGATAAGTGTTCATAATCTACGTAGACAGATTTTAAAAGGTTTTTGACCCCCCTCCCCCGCATAGACAACCGTCCAATAATTTTTTTGGAAAATTGTATGGACCGTAGATATTTGTCAACCCCCCTCCCCCTAAAGAGACTACATAGTTTATGAACAGCCCCTCATGAAATTTCTGTAGAAGCTAGGGGTTTAAAAACAGAACCGCACCGTAAAAAGAAGCAGGTACAACAGCAGCACCAGCAAGCAGCAGAATAAACTCAAGCACAGCGCATATTAACCAATATATTTCACTCTGGGACACATATTGTTGGTTGAAAAACTGTTTACTGTTACTTCAAGTCTCGATATTTGCGGAAATATTACACTTTTTATTTTATTTTTTCCTTGATTTGTTTTCCATCGATCTTGTTTTCCGTGCTGAGCACCAATGCTACCGACGCCAGGGAGTCAGCTCCCACACCTGGACCCTACCTATCGACCCATAAACTAACTACCTAACGACCCATGATCCGGGGACCAACGGCTTTACTTCCCTTCCGAAGGAAGGCGTGATCAGAGATGCTATGCCTCAGAACATCCCAGCGGCGCCGACTGGGATTGAACCCATGCCTGCTGGGGTGAGAGGCAATCACGCTTACCACTACACTTACCACCCCTGAAATATTGCACTTATTTCACGAATTTTGAACGATAACAGTTTGTGTTATTGTTTACATTTTTCCGGATGAAAACGAAGGAATGGATGGTAGAGCTATTTTTGCATTCGTTAGTGATGCATAGTTTCGCCCGGGGAATGGACACAACAAATTAATGCTAAATTAAAATTAACTATTGTTGGCCTAATAAAAGAATATTGATGTTTTTACAATAGTTGCAGTTGAAAAGAGGCTTATTAAAACAAAAAGAATTGTTTGTTTAAAAACAGCTAAAGTTATTTTTGGTTCAATGCAAATAATTTTCTGTCCGTTTATGTGGTTTGCTTAATACATTCAATATGAATTTTTGTTTTCGTGTAGACATTTGGAGAAAAATCTTCCAGATTTGTCCTGAAAATACCATTCCATTTGTTTTACATTGCTTGTGATCTCAAAATAGTCATAGAAATCTTAATCACAAATTTTCAGAGGTTTAACATATTTTTTTTTACTTAATTACTCGGAAGCTCATGGGATAGGGATTTCAGGGTCGTTTAACGGATTGTATTATCCATACGCATACACACCAAAATCTCAAATATTTTTCGGTACTTTTTTTGCTGGATACGTTCTGTAAAATATCATTTTCACCGAAAGTTTTGTAAAACATATGATTTTACCAATTCTCCGCAATCAAAACTGCTGAATTTCCGCAAATTGCATAAATTTACCGAAAACTGTAAATGAAAATTACTGATCAAAACTGTAACGGGTTGTAAGTCAGCGATACTGTAAAAAGTGTGGCAAATGTACTGTAAAAATAATCTTTTACAAAAGCAAACCGTAGTAAAGTAACAGATTTTTGTAAACATTACCGAACAGGATTGTAAATTGCATATTGTCAATCTCAGAATTTGCCGCCATTTCAAAGTTGAATTTTCTTCGGTTCTCCGGTGTGAAAAGTGAGTAATTTACTATTTTTGGCTATTTACAATCCGTTAAACCTATGCCGAAAGGTTAATTTTTCAGTGAACTTCTATACCAATTGCTTTCAGTCACCATGGATTGGCGGCCCAGTTTCCTTATCAAACGCAAAAAACCAATTTTTGTATGGTTTGTTACGGAGTCAGAAACATCGTCCTTCTCTGTTGAATATTATTTTTGTACGAACGTACGATGATAATATACAAAAAATTACGTTTAATGAGTCAAACGAATCGTTTGTTCTGTAATCATTTTAATTTTAAGAAAACACATGGAAGAAATAATCAATAAATCAATAAAAATCATAATTTTGGTACATTCAGGAAAATAATGAATTACAGTTATTTCGGTTAAAATGATACCGAACGCCATTGTGAACTTTACCAATCATTCTGTAAAATTTACAATCCATTTCAATAAATTTTGACAGCTCAAGAGTGAAGGAAATTTACTGAACGGATTGTAAATAATAAAATTACAGAATAGATTACCGAATGTTCAGCTGTTCCATATTCGGTAAAAAATTACAGTATACTGTAAAAAAATCTTAGTGTGTACCCAAGCAAGAGTGGACTCCAACAAGCAGTCGCTATTAACGTACATACCACAGATGTCACCCGTGTAGGACAGGAAATGTCTCAAAAGGGCTTTACAACGGGAAATGCTCATAAGCTACGAAGAAGACATCTTTATCTGAAACCTACGAAAGGCGAGGCCTGATGGTTCCTTTTTGAACGGACAAACGACAATATTGAAGATAAACTGATAGCTAATAGATTTCTCTCTCTCTTAAGCGCCCATTAAATATGTCAATTTTCATTACAATATTATCAATACATAAATATTGACAACATGCTGAAGTGCTCGTTACACGGGTCCATATATTGACAGTAAATTGACATACTGACAATATTATTGAGAAGGTAATATTGATGACGATGGATTGATGTCGAGTATTGTTGAAAAACTGATTTTCATTTCACTTTGTCAATATTCTTCCCCTAGGAGGGAGAATGTACGTCATTTATATCGACTGACTCACAAAGCACCTACGTGCATGCAGCGAGGCATGCAGTGTTGCCATTTGTTTAAATCTTCGTATGATATAATATCAATTTCAAACTAAATAAAAAATGTATCTTTTTACAGCCACCAATCACCCAGGCTTCGTTTATATGGATGTACATTTTCTACAAAATCACAATCACAAAAATCAAGTTATTTTTTTACTTCAGAATAAAATAAATACTATCAGCGTTTCACATACCTACACGTAACGTAAATTAATTATTATATGCATGATTTTCATTTATGAATGTTTACCTAAGCATCAGAATGATAGTTTCTATTTGAGAAACTGCGTACCGGGAACGTGGGTTATTCCACACGTGTAGTAATTCCGCGTACTCGACAATCGATTTGATTAAATTCGATTGCTTTGGAAGTACATGTCATGTTATTTGTTGTCTTGTGTATTGTCTGTGTCCTGTCAAATAGTTACAACATTTGGTATACCAATTTGGCCCACGCAATACAACCCACGTTCACGGTACATCATATGTTAACTAATAAACTATATGTGTGGCCATTAATACAGTTTATATGACATATGACCTACATTAACTTTCTTGTACGTCTTCTGATCATTAGTTGACTTTAATAATAATCAATAGTAATTTGCCAGAAAGTATAAGAGGATTTTCATCATGAGAGTGTATAATTATGATAAAACTAAGCATTATATGTATGGGTAACATTAGGTAAATATTATTGTTCTAACGAAACAGGAGAGTACAGTGATATCAAAAATAAAATTGGATGCTATAATTAATTACCTATAGCAAACAACATTCCTTTAAATTTATATGAGAACTTAAGAATTGACCTGGAATAAATCATTATTTAACACTATTTATCCTGAAAATTAATTTAAAATGTGCAAGTATAAGTAAATGTTGGGTGAAAATTGATTTCTATATATATCCACTAAACCAGGACTCCGCTATTTGGTGAATTTTGATCTACGGAACTGTTCGGTAAAAGTTTACAAATCATTTATTCCGAAAATGTATGGACCTAGTTAACCCCATTTAATGATACAAACCAAATTTGTCGATTTTATTGATTTCCTTCGAGTAACGGTAATTTAAAATTTTACCAACTTTTTCAGTTCAAATACCCGGCAAAATTTACCGACTTCGGTGATACAAATTCTGTGTGTAGCTAGTATTTTCTATACATACAGGTCCAGCAATCGTTTCTGTTTGAACCCGAATACAAACATTAACTCTAAACACACTTTCTTTAGCTGATCCATGTTTCTTGTGTGGGGAAATTAAGACATATAATATTGACTTTAATACATTGAGGTAAAAAGGCTTCTAACGTATTGCCATTAATATTGTCAATATTAGTATATTGACGGATTTTTGTCAATACATTCTGAGTATTGACAAAGTGAAATTAAAATCAGCATTACGTCTTCAATATCACCTTTTCAATAATATTGTCAGTATGTCTATTTATTGTCATAATATTGATATGTGTAATGGGCGCTTTAGGGCTTAGCCAGTAAACTAATTAAAGCGGCGATTTCCATTCTAATATGGAGGATTACGCCAAATTCCATAAGACTGAACGCCATTTGGCCGCACGCTTTGATGTTGCTGAGAAAATCAACGTTTTATTATTTTCTAGTATTTTTTTTTTCCTCACGGAACGCAACTTCTGTCATCTGCCATATCGATGTCATTTTGATCAGAATAGTCGTTTTCAAGTTATGATATTTTGAAAACAACTCATGACAACAAAAATCATATTTAAATGCAAACTGCCACTTATTTTTTATGTAGCATATAATTACGGGCTTGTTCTCAGAGAAACTAAAAAAATGCTTTATTCATTGTACTTTTCACAGTTTATTCACTAAAACATTTTTTTAAATTAAAACTTTGATCTTAACTCGACTAAAAACTCAAACTGCATTCTACTTGAGCGTTTGGTCATACTTATGCCCTGATTTGGCTTATTCTGCATAACCAAATGATCGATTGATGTCGTTCGATGCCAATCGGGGTTGTTGTTATCCGGTGTGGTTGCGTGGTGAGACTTATTGGATCCGCAGTCAGCACACATTGATTTGTGTTCAATGATTTTGACCAATTTTAGACCCCTCGTAGCGTATTTTGCTAGACCTAATATATGGCCAGTCACAACTTCTGAAACACACTGCAACTAAGTAGATTATTTTTCTTTTTTCGTTTTCGTTTGGTGGTGATTCGACCACCAAAAAGAACAGTTGAACGTATACAAAAGATACACGATCTCCGCACTGCCGTGAAATGACAAAATGACGTAAACATCACCAAGGTAAATTTTTATTTTTCACCATATTCGAGTTCTGCATCCTAAATGACACCCAATAACACTTTAAACTTGTACAAAATTACAATATACAAATACAATATTTTGAAGCATGCAGACAAAGTGACGTCGACCATACATTTTCGGAGAAATAGTGAAATTTTTTCACTGTTTCTACACATAAGAGACGTCCACCATACATCAGCGCTAACTTATTAAAAGCTTTTTTTAAAAATCAAGGATCTTATTTTTATCTTCTTCTTCGTAATCATTACGAGGATAATCAAAAATATTTGTTTTCTGAACAATTCACTTAATGGATTTACGTCACACTGTCATCTAACGGTAGCACAGCCCACTTCTCCACCAGCCCCTTCTAGTCCGCCTTCGCCCTTTCATCCACCCATACTCCCGAAAACACCAGCTGTCCCAGCTCTAAGACTTACCCAAATGACTCGGTTGCTTTCTTCCACTCCAAATTAAATAACTTTGAATGTTAATCAGATTTCAAAGGATCTGATAAAACATTTTTCTGTCGCGACCGGCCAACAAAAACTGCTCGTTGCCGTTGGTGATCGTGTGCAGACAAACAATATTGTTGCCTTTGAGCTTTATGCGATGGAGTATCGAGTGTATATTCCTATTCCCGATGTCGAATTCGAAGGAGTTGGCACCAAAACAAGTCTGATTCGTGATGACTTTCTGAATGGTGGGATTGCTGTCTTCAAGAACCCAAGCCTCTCAAAATTTCCAATATTGAACTCTACCGCTTTGCAAATCATTTTATTACGGTAGGGATTTTCCGTGACTTCCAGGTTCTTTCAAGGCTGCAGATGCTCCAGCATCACAACCAGGACAACGTGAAGCCCTGTTTACTTTTTCTGGAATTGTGGATTCTCGAATTATTGAATGTATCTGACTCCATGAAGAGCATCATTGGTTTGATGCTTCCCATCTCAAACCAAAAACTTTCTTCTACCTAAATACCATTTGTTTTTATACTTCCAGGACTTTCGCTATCTTTCGGAAACATTGTAGCGATCAGTATAACAGCGACGGCAGCTAGTATCGGTGCGGCTGGCATTCCACAAGCCGGTTTAGTTACCTTGGTGATGGTATTGGACACAGTCGGGCTCCCAGCCGAGGATGTATCCTTGATTATTGCAGTAGATTGGTTATTGTAAGATTATTCTTTGCATGCAACATTTGAATCTAAAATATTATTTTTTCAGAGACCGGTTCCGTACAGTAGTGAACGTACTAGGAGACAGTTTTGGGGCAGCCATCGTGGCTCATTACAGCCAGAAGGAACTAGCAACGATTCCGTCCAATGAGATCAACGGGAAAGTACACCGGAATTCTATGGCACACAGTGCCGAAACAGTATTATTCGAAGAGAGGCTTTGAGATGCGGCTTGTAACGTACGATCTATTTTTAATCGTAGTAAATATACATATAGCACACATTTACGGATAACTCTCACTAAGACTAACTCATTCAGTATGGAAGCGATGCTTGACCATGTCATGTGAATTAGGATGCTTAATTTTGAAAAAAAAGTGTTACTACTTATTACAATTAACAACGTCTTAGGTCCTTCCGCGCCCGATCATAAAGGCTTAAGAGGTCGTATTTGAAGTTTATATTATTGAACTTTACTTATATCACTCTAACTTTGCTGCTGGTTGCCACGAAAATGACCAACAAGCTTGTTGTTGTTGTGATGAGATTGGTGTGTTAGTGTATGGTACATATTCACCTATAAAATAAACCTACTTTTTCACATTTCTATCTTTCTTGAAATGCTGCCAAACTTACCGTAACAACAACAACAAAGCCTGTACAACAAGCCGTTGGTCATTGTCATAGCAGCCACATATTCATATTTTTTTTTCCAGAATTTGAACAACTAGAACTAGAAGCGATATAAGTGAAATTTAAAATTCTTCTATAGTAATTCCTATTCAAAACTCAATCCATTTGCGCAACCTCCAAACCTTCATCAATATTTACCTTTTTTGCAGGTACTCATATTATGAATCAAACTGGAGGGTGGCCGTAAAGAAATCTAACACTTAATTCAAAATGAAGCACCCTAATGTGGATGTGCACTACCCAAGTAACATTGCAAGTTTTATCGAGGTTTTAAAGCATGCTACAAGTCTAAATCATGGTCTACAGAACCCTCATAAAACCAAAATTGTTTCTTGGGTACATCCGAAGAAAGAAGCTATTGTACTTGTAAGTGATTAAAACTATTTTATTTAACCGTGAAAAACGGTTTTCATGTTGTAGCTATTAAATCATGTTACTTTGTGATATTGATTTGACTACGTAAAAAAATGTAATGAAATTATTTTGAATACCTTCTCTGTTAATAAACTGTTATCCTCAATACTTTAGGCATAAAACGATAATGTTGAAGTTAGTTTTATTTACCAATAAACTTTTTTAAGAGGATATCTGGCTCCAGCGATCCACTATTTAATGGTAGTACTTAAAAACAACCCAAAAAAGAATTGCGCACAGACAAAAAAATAAAACTATATAGAGGATATGCTCAACAACATGTTGCGGATTATTGTAAAACGTATAGTTGCCACACCGAGAGGTCTATAAATATATTTGTTAAACGATTTTCCAAGCTATAACGGGTACAAAAAATATTATTGAGAACCTTATCCATAAGTGTCGGCCTAAGTCGGGTAACAGTTTTGGACAACTTCCTCCCTGGTCACCTCCAAAGACCGATATGAAGAACGTTACCTCGGGCTGATAAGAAGAGCGTTACTTCGGGACCGATAAGAAGAGCTTAATCCGTGGCCGAATCGCCGCTCAACCACCATCGAATAACAGAAGCAGAAAATCAACATTGCGAACGGACGCACTACTACATCGTTGTCAGCAGCTTTCAGAGGCGAGCGTTATAAAAACTTTTCTATAGCCCGAATCCAAGAAATTTCACTGTTTCCGCAAACTAAGTTTCGCGGTGGGGGTAAAACGCCACCTTAAGAATTTATTTGTTTTCACGGTCCACTATTAAAATACAATCATTGTAGCTTGACTTTGGTTTCAATGATTCACCAGAACTTTAAATAAATAAACCATTAAGAACAGTTTTTTTTCGTGGATAATTTAACCGAAAAATTATATCAATGCAATCTATCCTAAAAAGGGGGCACCTGTTGATGGGTTTCAAAAAATCGTTTTTTTTTGCATTTTCGGCAACTTTATATCTTCTACAATGTTGTATATATATATATATAATAGCAGAAGTCGCTGTTAGTCTTGTGTTAAACGTACTTAGATATAACTTAAATCGTTATACGCGTTTTTCTCGAAACCACATTTTTTACCTTGCAAGACAGGGATTTCGGAGACTATTCGATCAATTTTGCTGATTATTTTGTTCGCGATATAAAAATTAGATTTTAGATATTTTAATGAGGAACTCAACACACCAATTATTTATTTTCTCTGATGTTTCAGTGCTGACAGCGCTGTCCACAAGCGACAAAAATATTTTTTAGATATTTTGAAATTTTTTGAAAAAAAGCTGAAATGTCAATCAATAACATATTGATTGCATTTATTCTAATACTTGAAAAAATAAAAAAATACCTTTTTTTAGAGATTTCAACAACTGGGCCTCAAATGACATTGCCCATTCTATTGGACATTTGTAATTTTTTTAAGGGGGTATTCCCAATCTTTTGCCTTTTTTCGGCCTGTTTTTCAATTAATTTTTTTTCAAGGAAAATGAATAGTAATGCGCCTAACTCTTTGGGATTCTTGTTTATTGAACATTAAAGTTTACAAATAATTTTTTTTCGACATAAAAAAAGACATTATTGACGTCACAAAATGGCGACAAACAGACCCCTGTTCGCCGCAAACGCCTGGACGGGCGAAGACTTTTCTCTGGAACGGCTTCATCTGAAACAGATTTCGTGATGAAATAATAATCTGCATAAGATTCTCTGGAGCTTCTCCCGTTGGCAGCAAAAAATCTTGCAAATTAACAAAATGGCGGCCATATGAAAAAACAGGCGATTTTTAGCCCGCTTTTTTGCAACTTTAAGGTGCTTCAAACAATGTTAAATGTTAATATTTTTGGCTGAAAGTGGGAGAAGCTCCAAAGAATTTAATAAGGAAAAAAATGCGCAAAGATTCAAGTCAATATCTCTTATAGTTTCTGAGAAAAATCTTCGCCCGATAAAAAAAATGTGGTTTCGAGAAAAACGCGTTTAAAGTTTTGACTTTAGTTAAAACCATTTGGGGGTTCTTACCATTAGTCAGCTATGCCTGGACACCGAATTCGCTGATTGGAAAACGGCTTGGGGGGATGAAAGTATATAGTCTAAAGTACAAAAAAACGTGAAAAAAAAAAATTTGATTTTTTGAAAAAAAAGATCGGGAATACCCCTTTAAAGAGCCGATAGATTCGTAATAGAAAATTTAGTGATCTTTTTCCAATTTAAAATTTATCGATAATTAGTAATGCTACAACTTCTTTTGTCAGACTTTCGGCTCTATGTAGTTATTGAAATTTTTTGAAAAAAAAGCTGAAATGTCAATCAATAACATATTGATTGCATTTATTCTAATACTTGAAAAAATAAAAAAATACCTTTTTTTAGAGATTTCAACAACTGGGCCTCAAATGACATTGCCCATTCTATTGGACATTTGTAATTTTTTTAAAGAGCCGATAGATTCGTAATAGAAAATTTAGTGATCTTTTTCCAATTTAAAATTTATCGATAATTAGTAATGCTACAACTTCTTTTGTCAGACTTTCGGCTCTATGTAGTTATTTTTTAAGTAAAGTTTTACCAAATAAGCAAAAAGGAAACTTCGGTAAAACAAATCATGAAATGTTCAGAAATTTTAATGTTTGCAAGGAAGAGTTTGGGGATCCAGTATCTCTCCAGTTTTTGTGGGTGCATTCTGTCAGTTGTTTTTGAAAAACTTTTGGAAACCCTACAGTTTTTTGTATTAAAATCACCAATTATGAATAATTTAGACCTATTAAGGTCTAAATAAGTAAGTTTCTGAAAGTCAATTATTTTGCTGGCCTATGCATTTAAATGGTAAAAAGTCAATTGCCTAATTTTTGTTTTGACAGACACCCCCAAAGTAAAAAAGGTGATCAGTTCGGTAAATAATGAAATTAGGATATATTGTTACCTCATTACCAGTTTTTCGAAAAGTTTGAGTAATAAAAGAAAGTTAAAGAGCTCGACCTCAGTATCTTTCGAGGGGGGCGACACATCTAAATCTCAACTCTAGATGCTCAACAAATCTCACACTAGCGAATCAATCTTCGAAAAATCTTCTTTCATTTATCCCATCTACTTGCATCGTGCATCATCTTTTTACAAGAAATCTTCAGAATCGTCATCAATCTTCTTTCTATCTACTAAGCGTGCGTGCAGCTAACCACAGCAAAACGCGATTTTTCCTGCATCGTAGATAGAGTCGCCCCCCTCGGTATCTTTAAGAGATTGAGCATTTTAATTCAAAATATTCAATGCTTAACATACATTATTAGGGGCGACCCCGGCGTAGTGGTTAGCATCCATACCTCTCACGCCAATGTCACGAGATCAAATCTCACCCCCGGACAAGTCACAAATGACCCAAGAGCGTTAAAGTGACTATAAAAAAAAAAAAAAAAAAAAAAAAACATACATTACTGGCTTTCAGAGTCATGAACATTTTATTTGCGAATATAACTCCAGTTTGGACTGCATCAAAGATGGAGTTAGTATTCAGCATATTTCTCTTATAGGGGAAATGTATGTAATGTCGGCCTAAGTGTCCCTAATTTGGGCCCATACATAAATTCAGCAATCGACTAAATTTTCAATAGCAACCAAAAATATCCATTAATACCGTCCCAATGACGCGTTCATCTAGAAACAATTGATAAATAGCAGATTTTTAGCGATGGGCCCAATCTTAGATCCATAGGCCAACATTAGAGCCATTTCTCCTATTTTCTCATTTTATTTATTTATTTTTGACAGGCGTCACATCAATAAGTCAATAGTCATCTCGTTAAAAAAAGGAACATTACTCCGGCGAAGCAGCTGGCGAGTCTGGTCAAAGTCAAGTAGTGCTGAGACCCTATTGAAGAGTCTCTGTAAACCACCGAACATGCTATAATTTGTTCGCTGTATGGGCAGGCGCAGCATTGAAATATTCCGTAGGGTAATCATATTAATTAATTATTGCTGTAAAAATTCCATTTTAGGAACTACCTAAGTCCTAGTAATCAGAATTTTGATTAGATTTTTTTGAAAAATTTAGAAGATACTCAGAATGTATGATAATGTTTTTTGATAAAATCTTTGGCAACCGGTGGGATTTGAACCCACAAATCCCATTAAGTACACGGGTGCATTACCAACGGTTACCTACGGCTACCGTTTGACAATACACGCCCGAAAAAAAAATAACGACAAAAATACATTAAAAAACAATGTAACAATAAGACGAAAATTATTGTCGTAACAATGATTTATATTGTTACGTCTACAATAAATTTACCTTGATTTATGTTGTACAAAACAGTAAATTTCATGGTAAATGGAAAATTTACAATAAAAAAGGGGGGTTGTTAAGCATCTTAACAATGAAATTTTCGTGATTTCCCCATATAATTTTTTTTCAATAACATTATATATTATTGTTATTTTACTGTTGGTTGGCGAATTAATTGATTAAAAAAATAACAGTGTACTTTATAGTGTATGTGTTGGCTTGACAGATCTACTTAATCGACTTTAAAAATAAATCGAAAAAATAAAACATCTCCCCGGGATGGTGGTATGTCTGTTACGGGTGAGTCCTTTTTTACAGGTTATGGATTGAGATTCGATCCGGAACTTGTGAGAAATGGAGGCCAACTCCCCTGCACTCGATCTCCCTAGGTCACGTCTTCTTGGTGACTGAGCGTCATTGATAAGTTAATGCATTCGACTGGAGAGAATCGCCCATGAAATATGCTTCCACCTGAGAGTTCCTTCCTGACATCTTCAAGTAGTGGATTTTTTTTATTATTATTGTATGATTATTGACTGCACGGAAAAGGTCTGCATTAAGCGGGATTTAGATGAGGCAGGTGAGTTGAATTCAACTCAAACCGATCTGGTCGTAGGCGTTCAACTGACTTGGCAACGAATAGAGCAAGTCCGATATCGGTCAGATTTCTGGACGTTCATTTCGCAGTTCAAGTGAGTTGAACGCTGAATTGAACTATCTTAACCCAGCTTTAAAGAGAGTCTAGGATAAGAGATGAGCGGACGCAAACTAGCTGGAACTGTCAAAGCCAGAGCCATACGAGCATCGCCTATCTTGATTACATTGGCAGTGTTGCTGACCATCTCATAGTCTGCATGCTTCAATCAGATTTATTTTTATTGTTCGTGAAGTAACCCACAATTAAAACACACCAATATTTAATGTAACAACAATTTTTATTGTAATAGAGTTGTTCATTATTGTTCATGATCGAATCATGTTAACAATAAAATAAATGAAAAATACGATAAAAATCATTGTAACAACATTTTATTATGTACATTCATTGTACAGATAGGTAGCAGTTTTGCCGTTTTAGGAAGGGTACAACATTATAACAATCATTTTTATTGTCAACAATAAATATTAATGTTAGAGCATTGTTTCCACTGAAAATTTCACTGTAAATTTTTTTTTTCGGGCGGGTATTTGGTTAATGAACATGTAGCATTCAAATGTGTTTCCATTACAGTATTTTAAATATTCGCAAGCGTTCCCAAATATACACACTCGTCAAATTTAACATGACATGATCCCGTCGATTCAACGTATACTCGGTATGAGACAAAAGCCGTGATGAAGTCATATAGCATCAACATCCTGAACTAGTGCACAACATCACG